TTGTTTGATGTTTTTCTTTGGATCGATCTGATGAGTTGAACCTTTTTCAAATGATTTTTATAGTGTGTTCTTATGTTGTGCTGTTTTACCACTGTCCCAGGTTAGGGGAGGGTTGAGCGCTCACAAACATGTTTAACCCCGCCACATTCTTTATGTGCCTGACCCAAGTCAGGAGCCTGTAGTTCAGTGTTTGTGTTTTGGTTCACGTCTGTCATATATGTTTTTCGTAAATTGTTTTGTTATAAATTAGGCCATTAGTTTTCTCAATTGAATTGTTTCATATTTTTCATGTCGGGGCCTTTATAGCAGACTATAAAGTATGGGTTTTCTCATTGTCCTATAATTGCTTACATCCACTTTGTTTTAACTTTGGTGGATATATTGGCAATCATACCACATCTCCTCATCTTGAAAGGGCTGCAGATAAATAAACTAGCAAAAGTCAGAATGACAATGAATAGTCTAACACAAACAATGTATTAAACAGTTGTGTATAAAAGCGAAAATAAATGTTCCTGTGTTGAAGCCACAGAAAAAATAAACACGCATGGCAAAAGAGAGAAAAGATACAAAATGGATAATCAAACTCATAAGTTGACAATGTCATGGCAAAAAAACGAAAATTGACCAAAAAGACAAACAACACTATACAAAACACAACATTGAAAACTAAAGACTGAGCAACACGAACCCAACCAAAAACTGGGGATGATCTCAGGTGCTCCAAAAGGATAAGCAGATCCTGATCCACATGCTAAATAATTTGTACATATACGTACTGTATTAAAATATCTATTGACAGTTAAATTCAAATTTTCATCAAATTAATGTAACCACTGTTTATCATCACCACCGGAAATTGGGTACCAACGAAGTGTAGAGAAAGGAGAAAAAAACAAACAAGGTAAGAAATCCTTCAATTTCAACCATTTCTACCGTTTTGATGAGGTTACCACTTATGAAATGATTTTCTGATAGATAGTGCTTTAATTTCTTATGCCAATAAATAACAAACAAAGACAAGATTTTGTGTTATACTTCAAAACAGTGCACTTGGTACCAGAAAATTTAGAGGTCAATCGCCCTCTGACGTCCCGCTGGCCAGATTTTCAACTTTTTTTCATTCTTTTTCCAGAATTTTTTTTAGATTATGATAGTGTGACATCATAATTACTGACTTTTGCTATCAATAATATCGTTAAAAACTAATCAAGCCTAGGGTATGGCAACTTGCTAATGTTTACAGATTTACAGTACGGCAACTTGCTAATGTTTACAGATTTACAGTACGGCAACTTGTTTTCCTACTGTATGGCAACTTGCTAGCTTTAAAAAAAATATATGCCGTCCTTTTCACGAAATAGCGGTACGAGATCATATACCTAATTATGCATTATATCTCTTATATATCCGAGTTAACATATGTCATTCAGATATGAGATGCAATGTAATGTAGTCAATTTTGATACATTGAACAAATAAAAAATTTGTTTATTTTTTCTCCCAGTCATAGAATTATGATTTAAAAAATAATAAATATTAATAAAGCGTTTACAATTTGAAAACTATACATATGACAGCGGATAAATGTTTTGACTTTCTTTTACACTTTTGATGTGTCTTTGACAGACTATATATATATATACAACTCGTTTAAACATCAGCCCAACAATATTAGATCTGTAAATTTGCCTTCGCAAATTTTTTGTTCTTCCCTCGCCGGGATTCGAACTCATGCTACTGAGATATCGTGACACCAAATCGCCTGCACTGTATCCGACACGCTAGACCAATCGACCACCTAGGCTTATACTCATATAGGTAAATGACAGCTATCATTAGCAAAACATATTCAAAGGATATTTAACATACACATTTTATGTAAACTAAGACTATTTGAACTCGGTTAACCTTGTGAGAAAATCTTTTCATACACGCTGAAGAATGACTTGCCTTACACTTGGAAAAAATGTCTTCTCCATATTATTTCTTTAAACAGGTATTCAGTTTGCCAAATAGGGACCAGGTCACAAAATATAGTTTAAGATTTATAACAGTCTACATAAATTACTAGTTAGATATCGTTTTCTTAAGAAAAAAAAAAATTGGTTGTTCTTATGCTGTTAATTGTCCTGTGAGGGGAAATTTGAGCACTCACAAGCATGTTAAACCGAGCTACGTTCTATATGTGCCTGTCTATGGCAAGCCGTTCTCGTCAAAACTATGTTTAAACCATTTTTCGAAAAATTTACACTGAGAATTAAAAAAAAACACACTGAGATTAAAAAACCTAAAAACACACACTGAGAATTAAGAATTACACACTGAGATTTCATAAAATGCACTGAGATTACAAAAATGAAAAACACACACTGAGATACCAGAGGGCTTAGTTTTCCTCTAAGGATTTAATAACCGATTACAGAGAAGTGCCAGATTTAAAGATGATGTTATCATCTGCATAGTTATATTATTCATAGTGTTTTACAAAATAACACATGGCCAAGTATATTTGTTGCTCTGTTACATATTTTTTTTGTTCATTATTTTGTACATAAATTAGGCCGTTAGTTTTCTTGTTTGGATTGTTTTATATTTGTCATTTCGGAGGCTTTTATAGCTGACTATGCGGTATGGGCTTTGCTCATTGTTGAAGGCCGTACTGTGACCTATAGTTGTTAATTTCTGTGTCATTTGGTCTCTTGTGAAGAGTTGTCTCATTGGCAATCATACCACATCTTCTTTTTTATATACCGGTAGTTTGTTCTTATGGTGTGCTGTTCCCAGGTTAGGGGAGGGTTGGGCACCAACAAACATGTTAAACCCTGCAGCATGCTGTATGTGTCTATCCCAGCCAGGAGCCTGTAATTCAGTGGTTGTCGGTTGTTGCTGTTTATCATAATTGGTTTTTTAAATTGTTTTGTATACATTTAAGTCAGACCATCATTTTTTTGTTTGAATTGTTCTACATTTGTCATGTCGGGGGCCCTTTATAACATGTTATGCTGTATGGTGACCTATAGTTCCTACCTAACTTTTATGTCATTTGGTTTTTACATGAGCATATTTATTAGTTACATGATCAATGGATATATATATATATATATACTTTTTATAATTGCACAGACTATGTGTGGTAAAACCAAGTATAATTGCAAGTATCCCAATGATTTAAGGGTGGAAATTTTAAATTTTATTTTTGTCGAGCCTGCGACTTTTGTCGCAGAAAGCTCGACATAGGGATAGTGATCCGGCGGCGTTAGCTAACTTCTTAAAAGCTTTATATTTTAGAAGATGGAAGACCTGGATGCTTCATACTTTGTATATAGATGCCTCATGTTACGAAGTTTCCGTCAGTCACATGTCCAATGTCCTTGACCTCATTTTCATGGTTCAGCGACTACTTGAAAAAAAAGTTCAGATTTTTTGGAATGTTAAATTCTCTCTTATTATAAGTAATAGGATAACTATATTTGGTATGTGCGTACCTTGCAAGGTCCTCATGCCCGTCAGATAGTTTTCACTTGACCTCGACCTCATTTCATGGATCAGTGAACAAGGTTAAGTTTTCGTGGTCAAGTCCATATCTGAGATACTATAAGCAATAGGTCTACTATATTTGGTGTATGTAATGATAGTAAGGGGTACATGTCTAACTGGCAGGTGTCATCTGACCTTGACCTCATTTTCATGGTTCAGTGGTCATAGTTTAGTTTTTGTGTTTTGGTCTATTTTTCTAATACTGTATGCAATAGGTCAACTGTATTTGGTGTATGGAAATATTGTAAGGTGTACATGTCTAGCTGGCAGGTGTCATTTGACCTTGACCTCATTTTCATGGTTCAGTGGTCAAAGTTAAGATTTTGAGTTTTGGTCTTTTTTTCTAATACTATATGCAATAGGTCAACTATATTTGGTGTAATATATAATATTGTACGATGTTCATGTCAGTCTGGCAAGTTTTATTTGACCTTGACCTCATTTTCACGGTTCATTGCTCAATGTAAAGTTTTTGTGTTTTGGTTTGTTTTTCTAATACTGTATGCAGTAGGTCAACTATATTTAGTGTATGGAAATATTTTACGATGTACATGTCAGTCTGGCATGTTTTATTTGACCTTGACCTCATTTTCAAGGTTCATTGTTAAATGTTAAGTTTTTGTGTTTTGGTCTGTTTTCCTAATACTGTATGCAGCAGGTCAACTATATTTGGTGTATGGAAATATTTAATGATGTACATGTCAGTCTGGCAGATTTTATTTGACCTTGACCTCATTTTCATGGTTCATTGCTTATGTTATGTTTTTGTGTTTTGGTCTGTTTTTCTTACACTTTAAGCAATAGGTCAACTATATTTGGTGTATGGAATGATTGTAAGGTGTACATGTCTAGCTGGCAGGTGTCATTTGACCTTGACCTCATTTTCATGGTTCAGTGGTCAAAGTTAAGATTTTGAGTTTTGGTCTTTTTTTCTAATACTATATGCAATAGGTCAACTATATTTGGTGTATGGAAATATTTTATGGTCTTTATGTCAGTCGCGCAGTTTTTATTTGACCTTGACCTCATTTTCACAGTTCATTGCTCAGTGTTAAGTTTTTGTGTTTTGGTCTGTTTTTCTTAAACTATAAGCAATAGGTCAACTATATTTGTTGTATGGAAGAATTGTTAGCTGTACATGCCTGCCTGGCATGGTTCATCTGACATTGACCTCATTTCCATGGTTCATTGGTCAATGTTTAGTTTTCTTGGTTAATGTTAAGTTTATGTGACAGTTGTAAGAAAGCTTTATATTTAGGACTATCAACATAATATCAATGATTAGTAAAGAAGGCGAGACATTTCAGCGTGTGCACTCTTGTTCCAAAACAGTCTTGTAAGTATAGTGAATTGAAATACTGGTTGCACATGAAAACTCAAGTTATTTTTTTTATAGATATAATTAATTTTATGTATAAAATACAATTATGGCTTAATTGATTAAAAATAAAAAATGTGTATTAAATTTTTGGTAGAACATTTTATTGCATAAAAAAACAACAAATTTATTACACCCAGTAATAATAAATTTTCATCATTCAAATATCATAAATATAATAACTTGTGTTCTATTAAAATAAAATCCACAGTGACTGAATTTTTATATGTACATGTATTACATCAAGACAATGTTAAGTAAAACATTACAAATCATCAACTGCACAAGGTGGAAGCTAAACAATAACCTTGTCAACTTTTTTTAGTTTTTAGATTATGTTAATTTCTTTACCTGGTATTCATAAAACTATGGAAACAGCCTCATAAAATATTTGAAACGATCAGGTTTCATTCTTATACCTGTAAAGAATTTGATATAAAACATTTTCTTCACATTTGATAAATAATTTAAATCATGTAAATGCCAGATTTTAAGAATTTGACCAAAATCCAAATGTAGAAAATATTTTTTTGGTTGATCCTACAACAGTTGACTACATTGTGAACATGAGTTACATGACATTAGTAGACTTTTGTCCATTTACTTGTAAGTGTAGGTTTGAAATGGCTACGTTGTGTGTTTTTTTTTATGCACAGCGTAACAGGTTTATCTTGTTTTCTCCAAATAACAAACAAATTATATAAAAGACCCTCAAAATCATTTTTTTTCAACCTAGGTGATAAACTAACTTATCAAATATGAAATGACGACAAAGTTTTTGAACATATTAATCTATTTTCAATCTCATTTTAAACAGTCTTCACACTTTTTTGACAATCTTGTAAATAGATGCATTTAATGAATAACCTCAATTATATCCCATACAATTTACTTTCTTTATATCATTAATGATTAAATGTCAGAATGTAAATTTGTGGAAGAAAATTATGCTGAACAATGAAAATACTGTACAGAATGACAAATCATTTCCAATGACGTCAGCAGATTATTAGACAAAAGTGTCCATAACTTTGAAAAACTTCACTCAGCATTTAATCAAAATTATTTTCATTTCTTTCCTTTTCCTGCTCGTTTGGTTTTCTGTGTCTTATTCTTTTTCTTCTGCTTTTTAATTTGTCTAGAGTTCATCCACACTGGGTAATTTCCATGTTCATCTAACTTTGTCTTTGTGTTATATTTTTTTCCTGAATCAAGGTCCATGTTTTCTGAAAATAAAAAGAATATAACATGTAAATATGTATCTTTGTACTGCCATCTAGATAACAGTGACAACATTTGAAAAGATCTTACTAATAATGATGCATCCACTGATATTATATAATGACTGTCTGACTTGTACTTGCTTGGATTCTGATCATAACTCAAAACTTAACAAGAGTCACTCAAGCATAAAATAATAAACTGTTGAAACAAATAATCTTAGTGGAAATGAAATGTGCTAATGCTAATACAACCACATACCAAAATCATTCACTTACAATAATGGTTCATCTTAAGACTGACCTTATCACAAACTTTAACACATAAACCATGCAAAAGTGTCGAAGTCAATAAAGCACGCCTGAGAGGGCAGGCCAAATAATATCCATGGATAAGAGATGTGCTAATGCTAACTGTATACCAAACATTATATGCATTGACTTACCATTAGTGGTTTCCCTTACACTGACCTTATTACAAACTTTAACATGAAAACCATGCAAAAGTGTCAAAGTCAAGAGGGCATTCCAAATAATCTCCATGGATAAGAGCTGTGCTAATGCTAACTTATACCAAATATCATATACATTGACTTACCATTAGTGGTTTCCTTTAAACTGATCTAATTACAATCTTGCACAATTGAAGTAAGCAAAAGTAGACCATGACTGAGGAGGAGAGCCAAATAATTTGAGTGGTAATGAGATGTTCCAACTACATATCTAATATCATTGACTTACAATCTATTATTAATGTATCCCCTTAAAATGACCATGATGACCTAATCACAAACTTTAACAATCTGTTGATTCTGCCACAGCTGGACACAGCACACCTTTGTCATGCCTATCTGACACAGTCGAGGTGATACAAAAAACCAAACCTGAATTGTTCATGCATTAAATTAATTTAAGGCCAGTGTTGCCCAACTTTAAAAGATATTGTAAACCACTTTTCAAGATGCAACCATTAGATACTATTATTATATTCATATGTGGATCCACGATTTTGATAAAAGCAAACTAAACAACTTGTAAGAGGAGTCGGACAGTCGATGCATTAACCATGTTTGTAGATCCAAAAGGGTTCTGAAGCCCCTGGCCACACACTGCCTTTCCCTCTCCCCTGATCCTCTAATACTCAGCTTTCAAGCTTATTAAAACAAGAATGTTTAATGTTTTTATATGTATACAGTATATACATGATATATGCAATTCTTGACTGCAGAAATAGTCATAATAAATTAAACCACTTAAGACATCCATGTATGTGTTAAAATTACCTTCATCTCTTATTTCTTGGACAACATCAGAACCTTTTCTCACTGAAACAAAATTTAAATAGTTTATACACAGTACAATAGATTCTTGGGCAGTTTTAAAAGTGAATTTTTATAATGAAAAACAACCTTCTAGTATCTGATTTATATACATTTTTTTTTGTTTAAATAAATTTTATTGCCCAATAGGACAAATAGATCTGGCAAAAGACTTGCAACTTAGTAATGTACATGTGTATTCTTCTTTATTTTAAAAAGTTGGTGGCTTTACTACAATGAACAGGATTATTGATGAATCATAATAACCAAAACAGATTACAAGCATTTCAAGAAAGATGCCAAAATCTGTACTCATAAAGATATGGACAACATAATGAATGCTATAAACAGACCTTACATAAGTGTTAAGTTTCTTACCAATATTTTATATAAAAGGAATTATTTTTCTAATCTACACTAGCCTGACTAGTAGAATTGTAAACATGGTAAACACCAAAAGATTCATGACTTATAATTTATTAATAATTCAATTTTTATCATATCCTTTAAGCATTCTCACAACTGCCGAATTCTGACTACAGACAGGCAGAGCTCAGACTTAAATATGGTTGTTCCTTTTTTGACAAAACGTGTTTCTGTAATGAAATCAATTTTTGAATTGTTTATTTCAGATTGGATTTAATTATATATACCAGTCAAGGGTCTAACTTAAATAAGTTATTAGAGAAAAATAACATACATTTGTTATTGAGGGCTAAAAAATCAAAAATCTGTGATAACATATGTATGTTACATGTTTCAAAGGGGCATTATACATCCTTTATTTTGTTAAATCGTGTACTAGTTCTATTGATATTATAATTGTCTTTATTTATATTAAACTTTAGAAAGATATAACAGCCCATAGTTTGCTAATCATGCATAACACACCCATGTTATTACAGAAAAAGTATGCCTGTAATAACTAAAGGGTGTTATTACAGCTTCCCTACATCTCTTCAAAGCCTTTTCACAATGTATTTTAATTTATTGTAATAAATAATGATAAGAGCATGTAATGAGGTTCTGCGCAAGCTTCCTAGTCATTCCCAAGTGTCTCATGTAATAAGTTAAATGCCTGTAATAACTAAGCATTGTTATTACAGCTAAGTTATTACTTAAAAGCCTTGTCTAATTGATTTACCATGGTTGATCAAAAATGTATTAATTGAATTGGAAAATTAGTTTTCAAGGTTATGTATTAAGTTACTGCGCAAGTTTCAAGAATTCCCAAGTGCCCACTGAAAATAAAAAAATTTATGGTACATTTAACTGATAACAAACATATGTTACTACAGATTAAGAGAAAGTATCCATAATAACACATGTATGTTATTTTTCTCTAATAACTTATTCAAGTTACACCCTTGACTGTATACCTTAAGCCTTTTGGTCAGTAATTTTCTGAAATATCTATGAATGCATTCCGTCAAAGCAGATCTACATTTGTGAAGAAAGCACATAAAATTGGTGAAAACATTCTTAAATTTGTTCTTTTGATTCAAATGTACATCTCTTTTGAAAGAATGCAAGCACAATGTCATGTTTTTCTCTGACTGTTTATGACGTCTTTACACTAAATCCACTGGATGTTAGATGTGTACGGATTGATAATTTAGTCTTAGATGCATGATTTTTTTATTAGTTGTTAGTGGTTTTGAACTAGCTGTCAGTATAACTGCGAGTACTCTCAGATCTGTACTTAGTGTCTTTTTGTTGTTTGGATGTACAAGTACCCGTTCACGTCCACTTGTAATTGTAGTACAATGTATTTGTATTTTTATCCATCTGATGAGTTAAGCCTCTTTCAACTGATTTTTATAGTTCGTTCTTATGTTGTACTATTACACCACTGTCCCAGGTTAGGAGGAGGGTTGGGATCCCGCTAACATGTTTAACCCCGCCACATTCTGTATGTATGTGCCTGTCCCAAGTCAGGAGCCTGTAATTCAGTGGTTGTCGTTTGTTTATGTGTAAATATTTGTATTTCGTTCATTTTTTGTACATAAATTAGGCCGTTAGTTTTCTCGTTTGAATTGTTTTACATTGTCATTTCGGGGCCTTTTATAGCTGACTGTGCGGTATGGGCTTTGCTCATTGTTGAAGGCCGTACGGTGACCTATAGATGTTAATTTCTGTGTCATTTGGTCTCTTGTGGAGAGTTGTCTCATTGGCAATCATACCACATCTTCTTTTTTATAAGCAATAATATTTCATAAAATAAATTAAATAAACATGATAAATGCATTATGTGTATTTTTTTTCCATTTTTAGTTAGGTTTAAATGTGCAAAGTTATAGCAAAATCTGTGACAATGCCCTTTTACTGTTCTTTGACCTTATGGAGTTCTTTGTGAACAATTTTGTTGTTATCAGGGAGCTTGACTTACAAAATGGTGATTATGGCAATTAAAACTAGACATCATTGAGATATGGGAGCAATCTCTGTGGGACCCGCTGTAAATAACAGGTTTCTATTTGACTATTAAAGTTGTTAGTGGTTGAATCTCTTAGAGCAGGTTACATGTGTTATTAAACAGTACACCGGATGCACTTTACCCTTATTTTTAGAAATATAATATAAAAGAAAAAAAAACTTCTTGAAAAAGACAGGTTATTTTGCATTACTTGTCAAGCCAGAATTATGCCATTTAAATTGTTGGAACTTTGTACTGTATCTGTATTCACTAGATTGAATAGTTCTTGTGTTTACCTATAAAACAGTCCATTTTTAAAGCACAGTAAATATTTTAATCATGTGGAAATCTATACCTCAGTAGTCCTAGGCTCAACAAAAATACATCAGATTGAATTATTTGATTGGTTTAAATTTGTTGTGTTGCCAATCTCCCTATCTTGGTTTATTTTATCTTTCAGAGTACAGTGATAACACAACATGTCCTGGTGGACAAAATGGTGGAGTAATATCTCCACATATAACTATACACAAGAGAACAGAACTAAGCCAGTTGTATGGATTGATGGAAAAAGACATAAAGTTGAATTCTGCAGCAAATGTTAAGGACTACAATGACAATGATCAGCATCAGTTTTCGTGTGGTAAAAAATTTGTTGTATATACATTATGCACACCCTCTAGCAGTCAGGAATATAACTATCATGTCTATCATGTCTAGGGTTATTAGAGAAAATATCTTGCATGTGTTATTACAGATACTTTCATGAGTTGTCTACTCTTTATTCCTTAAATTTTCTAAATCTGTAGTAACATATGTTTGTTATCTGTTAAATAAATCATAAATATTTTAATTTTTAGTGGGCACTTGGGAATTCTTGAAACTTTGCGCAGAAACTAAATACATACATAGCCTTGATAACTAATTTTCCGATTAAATTAATACATTTTTCATCAACCACGGTAAATCAATGAGACAAGGCTTTTAAGGGATAAACTAAGCTGTAATAACAAGGCTTAGTTATTAAAGGCATGTAACTTATTATATGAGACACTTGGGAATTACTGGAAAGCTTGCCAGAACCTCATTACATGCTCATTATTTCTTACAACAATAAATTAAAATACATTGTGATTAAGCATGATGTATGTCTGAGCAAAGGCTTTGAAGTGATGTAGAGAAGCTGTAATAACACCCTTTAGTTATTACAGGCATATTTTTTCTGTAATAACATAGGTGAACTATGCATGATTAGCAAACTATAAACTGATATATCTTTCTATTGTTTAGTATACAAAACAATAATATTAATATCAATAGAACTTGTATACATTTAAAAAAAACAAATGATGTATATTGGCCCTTTGAAACATGTACATGTAACATACATATGTGATCACAGTTTTTTTATTTTTAGTCCATAATAACTATGTTATTTTTCTCTAATAACCCTATAGAATTATACCCTTGACTGTCTAGTGTTGGTTAATATATGTATGTCAAGTATAAACTTTGAAATCATCATAGTTCTCAAGATATAGAGCAGACATGATCTGTACCATAGGACAGGGGGGTTGTCAACTGAAACCAAAGTTTTTGACCTTGACCTTTGACCTAGGAAGTTGTACATACATTATGACACACCCTCTGGTGTTGGTTAATATACATGTCAAGTATCAACTTTGAAATCATAACGGTTCTCAAGATATAGAGCAGACCTGATCTTTACCACAGGACATGGGGTTGTCAACTGAAACCAAAGTTTTTGACCTTAACCTTTGACCTAGGAAGTTGTACATACATTATGACACACCCTCTGGTGTTGGTTAATACATGTCAAGTATAAACTTTGAAATCATAACTGTTCTCAAGATATAGAGCAGACACGATTTTTACCATAGGACATGGGGTTGTCAACTGAAACCAAAGTTTTTGACCTTGAACTTTGACCTAGGAAGTTGTACAAACATTAAGTCTGAGCATTACTACAGACAAGAGCAGTATAAACTTCATGAGATGTACATTTACCATGTTTAAGTTAAATAAAGAAAAATATTTTCCAGTGCAATGCTAACCTGTGAACATTTCTTTCATGTCTTCTTCCTTAATAGCAGAAGCAACATCAGTAGTAACTGTTTTCTTGAGGGTTTCTAATTCTTTTTTCCCATACCTTTCTCTTTTTATAGCTCTCATCTTCCTCTTGTGTTTGCTTCTGATACTTTTAGCCATCTAAAACATCAATAATTAGCATTAATAAAAATCAAGTACAAAAGTTAGAAATGTTTGTGAGGGTTTCACTCTCCCCTAATTTGGGACAGTGGTGTAACAACAAAAGAACAAACTACAATTTTGTATGTGCCTGTCCCAAGTAGGGAGCCTATAGTTCAGTGGTTGTCGTTGGTTCATGTCTGTCATATTTGTTTTTCGTAAAATGTTTCATTTTATCCTGTCAGGGTCTGTTATAGTCGACTATACAGTATGGGTTTTTCTCATTGTATAAGGCCGTAAAATTGCCTATAATTGCTAATATCCACTTCTTTTGAACTTTGGTAGACAGGTGTCTCATTTGCAATAATACCTGATCTCCTTATTTTTATATAAAAATCTGTTGGAAAGCAGGGATGATTCCAGGTGTTTTCAAGTGGGTCCCTTGACCATCAAATTGGGAATTTTTTATGCATTAAATCTAAGACGAAATAACATTATTTTTCCTGTAAAAATGTAAAATGTATATTAAGGTTTACCTGTACACTGCTGTAAGAAGTTGTAACATTTTGAATAATCCTGGACAGGCTACTGATAAAAATGATATATATGATTACCAGATCGCTTGACAGTTATTGGATTGAGACCAGGGAAGTTGTTACATGAAGATCATTGAACATGATGCACTATCTTTTGTAGGCTTGCATCTTAGCTATGGTAACCTTGGCCTTTTACATATATAACAGCTAACATAAACCATTGAAAATAAAATGCTTCGCTGGGGCGCAGCTTGATACGACCGCAGAGGTCGAACCCTGAACAGTTGGGGCAAGTATGGACACAAAATTCAAGCTTGATACAGCTATGACTTTGGATTGTCATTAAATATTTGACACAGCATAGGTTTCTGACACAGGATGAATGTGGTGTAAGAACTGGAAAAAATTTAATTTACCTATTATGGTGGAATATCCATAAACTAAATTGTTTGTTAATTTCAATATATCAAAGAATATGTAGAATTCAATGTTTGATGTAATGTAATAAAGTTGAAATTTGGACCGTTTTTGTTCAATGTGGACCAATTTGGTAACATGTATAAATAATCAAAAATCTAAATACATGGGAGCCCATTTAAATACATCATAAAGGTATTAAAATAGAAAGTGACATCATAGTCATGGCTAAAAAAAACAAAAATCCTTAATCAGCAACATTTAAAGTAATATCTAAAAATAAAATTCCTTTGTAACCATAAAAGCCCATTTAAATACATCATAAAGATATTAAAATAGAAAATGACATCATAGTCATGGCTAAACATAGCAAAAAACCCTTAATCAGCATCATTTAACAGTAATATCTAAAAATGGAAATTACATCATAAAGGTATTAAAATAGAAAATGACATCATAGTCATGGCTAAAAATAAACAAAATCCTTAATCAGCATCAGCAACATTTTATAGTAATATCTAAATATAAAATTCCTTTGTAACCATAAAAGCCCATTTAAATACATCATAACAGATATTAAAATAGAAAATGACATCATAGTCATGGCTAAACATAGCAAAAACCTTAATCAGCATCATTTAACAGTAATATCTAAAAATAAAAATTTCTTTGCAACCATAAAAGTAAAACAGAAAATGACATCATAATAATAGCTAAAAATAAACAAAAATTTTTTTTATTGGCAAATTTTAAATGGAGTTTATTATACTAAAACAATAAATTTGCAACCATAAACATGATAAAACCCCATTTAAACACATCATAAAAGTATTAAATAATTCAACTACATCATAAGGCTATAAAAATAGAAAATGACTTCATAGTCAAGGCTAAAGGTAAACAAAAAACCTTCATCAGCAAAATTTTATATTGGCAAATTTCCAATGAAGTTTATTACACTAAAATTGTTGGCAAATTTCCAATGCATTTATTAACAATAAAGTTATTGGCAAATTTCCAATTTACATAATTTAAAAGCAGTGTAGATGAGATATTTAAATGAGTTTGAATTACCAACCTTACACTGCTTTTAAATAATGTTCTTTACTCAATTATTTGTCTATTAAAATGGAAACCCTTGTTTTTTAACCTTTTTTCCCCTTATTCCTTAAACATTAGAGCCATAACCACCCCCCCCCCCCCCCCCCCCCCAAAGCCAATTATTACTTTCCAATGTAACCTAAATTTCCAATATACATAATTTTAAATTTCAGTTCCTCATGATATATAACCGTATCATTATTATTTTCTTTCATATATAAATCTGAAACAACCATCTATAAATGGAAAATTTTAAAGAAAAAAAAAGGAAAAAAAAAAATCCTACCCCCCACACATTTTTTCAACCCCCTTTTGATTCATCATCCCCCACCTCAATCACAACCTTCAATTTGTGGTATGGTACATTGCAATACAATTTCACAGAGATCCATACACTTGAACACAAGTTTTTGTTGCAAACTAAAAAAATCCTTATTTTCAACCAATATTTGGCCCCTTATTCATAAATGTTTGAGCAATTAACCCCAAAACTCAATTCCTACTTTCTCTTCGTGATAAAAAATAACTAACTTAAAATGTAAATTTTAAACAAAAAAAAAAGGAAAAAAAAAAATTACCCCTTTTTTGACCCCCGCCCCCCTTATGATTCATCACCCCCACCCCCCTTTCCCCCCAAACCAAGCTCAATAACAGCCTTGCCTTTGTGGTATGGTACCTTGTAATACAATTTTAGAGAGATCCATACACTTGAACACAAGTTATTGTCTAGAAACTAAAAAATGCTTATTTTAAACCCCTTTTTAGGCCCCTTATTACTAAACGTTTTGGGCAATTACCACAACACTCAATTCCAGCTTTCCCTTTGTGAAATGGAACCTTGTAGTAAAATTTCAGAAAGATCCATACACTTACACACAAGTTATTGTCATGAAACTAGAAAAATGCTTGTTTTTTGCCCCCTTTTGGCCCCTTATTCCTAAAATTTTGAGGCAATTAACCCCAAAATCAATCCCAGCATTGACCCTTTGTGATATGGAATCTTGTGGTACAATGTCAAAGAGATCCATATGCTAACACACAAGTTATGTCTGGAAGTTACAAAAATGCTTATTTTCGGCCCCTTTTTGGCCCCTAATTCCTTAACTGTTGGTACCATAACCCCTAAAATCAATCCCCACCTTCCTATTGTGGTATTGAACCTTATGATAAAATTTCATAGAGATCCATTCACTTAAACTAAAGTTAGAGTGCGAAAACCATTGTGTATTCGGACGACGACGCCGGACGACGACGACGACGACGACGCCAACGTCATACCAATATACGACCTCAAAATTTTTTTGCGGTCGTATAAAAATCATCCATTTGGTATTTTTTTTCAACAACAGGTCATCTTTATAAATTCACCTTGATTCAAATGGATTTCAAATTGAACTGGCCAATTATCGAATTTAGAAAAGCAATTACAAAAGTTTAAGTACTTAATTGATAAGATATTTTTGTGATTTTTGCTTGCTGTTTAATATGTAGAAGGTTGCCATAGTTTTGCTTTATGTGTAACCCTAAGACCATGAAGAAACAGGAAATTAAAGAATTGAACCATTGTATTTTAATATTATTTGGGTCATCTTCACATCTTTTGAAACATTTCCATAATGTTGACATCGATCCTATTTCATGAATGATCTATCATCCACATGTATTTTCAAACACGCTCAAACTTTTGTCTTTTGGGGAAATAGAGCCTGACTAAATATAAAATCATTTCTTTTACAATATAAAAAAGAAGATGTGGTATGATTGCAAATGAGACAACTCTTCACAAGAAACCAAATGACACAGAAATTAACAACTATAGGTCACCGTACGGCCTTCAACAATGAGCAACACCCATACCGCATAGTCAGCTATAAAAGGCCCTGAAATGACAAATGTATGTAAACCAATTCAAACAAGGAAAACTAACGGCCTAATTTAAGTAAAAAAAATGAACTAAAAACAAATATGTAACATATCAACAAAAGACAACCACTGAATTACATGTACAGGCTCCTGACTTGGAACAGGCACATACATACAGAATGTGGTGGGGTTAAACATGTTAGCAGGATCCCAACCCTCCCCCTAACCTGGGACAGTGGTGTTACGGTACAACATAAAAACGAACTATAAAAACCAGTTGAAAAAGGCTTTACTCATCAAACATGTCAGATGGATACAAATAGAAATACATATCACAAAAACACAGAGTCGACGTGGTCGGGTACTTGTACATCCCAACAACAAAGACACTAAGTACAAATCTGAGAGTACTCGCAGTTACTGACAGCTAGTTCAAAGCCAATAACAACTAATACAAAATAAAATGCTTCGCTGAGCGCAGCTGGATACGACCGCAGAGGTCCAACCCTGAACAGTTGGGGCAAAAATGGACACAATATTCGTGTTTGATACAGGTCTGAACAATGCTGAATTTGGATTGTAATTAAATATTTGACACATAATAGGTTTCTGACACAGAATAACTGTAGTCAAAGAACTTAGAATTGTTTATATGATTTGAATTTATATTCAATTTTTTGCTTTTGTGCAATACACCATGCTGTTGCGTATTGACCCCCCCCTCCCCTTTTAATTTGCAAAAAAAAAAAAATATTTGAAGAAATTTTCTTTTTAATTTCTGAAATCTGAAATGAGAAAAATTGCCCCCCCCCCCTAATTTTTTTTTCACCTCCCCCCTTTTCCAAAAAAAATTCTTTCCCTCAAGATATGGTCATAATCTCAATTCAAATTTCCAATGGAGTTTACAACCATAATTACCAATTTAAATACATCATAAAAGTCTTAAAATAGAAAATGACATACATAATCATGGCTAAAATTAATATTCCTTTAATAGTAACTTCTAATAAAATGCTCCGCAGGGCGCAGCTTGATACGACCGCAGAGGTCGAACCCTGAATAGTTGGGGCAAGTATGGACACAACATTCAAGCTTGATACAGCT